AGTGCAGATGCCCAGATGAGGCTGACACATGCTTACATTACAGGAATTATGCCATGCAAGCACAATGGCACTATGCTTATTCTAAGTGGGTCATACAGGTCTCACAAACAGGTTACAAAATCAAAGCAAGCACAAAAGGAGGGCCACTCAAAACCTTCCCAAAAGCAAGGAGCCACACGTTGCTGCCAGCATTGGATGTCACAATGATAACATGGTGCTATCACTGAAATATTAATTTGAAGCTAGAGCTTATAATTCACATGTATGCATTTTCTTTCATCCTTGAGCATCTGAAAGCTTACCAATTATCTAAGAATTTTGAGAAGGCTAGTATTTAATATCAGTGTACACACTATTATTATAGGCCTTTTACTCATCAATTAAGCAATATGATTATCCCCTGCTTTACCTCATCCTCACACAGATCTTTTGAAACAGTTAAGCTAGCTCTGTGCATCCACGCAGGTAGAGAAGTTGGGGATGGCAACAGAAAGCCACCTGTTTTAATGGGGCTTTCTTTGGATTTCAAGCAGATCTGCAGCGTTCCAGGGCTATGACTGTCACTGTGCAGGGAGGGACAAACAGGAATCAAGCTGCAGTGCTACTTACTAAGTTTCTTTTCTCACTCCTCCTCAAACTGCAACCATCTTGAATCCCAACACTATCTCACTCTGCCTAGAGAAATCCTTCCATAATGCAACATTATGTTGTTAATTAAACAAGTGATGAGGGACACTTGCTCAAGATACTTTTCCACAACACCCACTTGAAGGAAAAGTGATACAGTACAGACAGCTGTTAAATGTGCTGTACTGGTAACCCTACTCTTCCTAACGTGTTGTGCCCAGGATTACTCTTTCCCAGCCTATGGTCAAGTCAGCATTCAAGTCAGTATTCTAACTTTGTGCTGACAATGTGACTGTGGGACAGGTGGAAATGCATCCTGCTTGGGATGCTTCCTGCTAGGAGGACAAACTCCAAGATGCAAATTTGACCCCTGTAGCTCACACTACAAGATGAGCTGTCCTCATACAAAACTGTAATTACCTGCAGCACAGTAACAGAAGACTCAGTATTTATTATCTGAGAAAATACTAGTTCTGCTGGAGCAGAGAGCCATCCTTGATCATCCTTGGAACAGCAGCCTCACTAATCATCAAATTCTGTCCCAAACTTTTGCTAGCATCTGGCCAACTGGCTTTGCATTGATAAATTCTATTCACAAGTCCCACAGGCTACAACCCAACAATCTCTTCCCTCATTCCCCACCTTCCCTATCTCAGAATTAATGCTCCCCTCCCCAGGAAGCTGAAGCAGGCCCGCTCTCACCATGACACAGTTGGGCTTGTTAACTGACCACACGTTGACCCGACAGTCATCTCCTCCAGTTGCCAGCAGCCGGCCCGATTTCTTCCCCAGGACTAATGAGGACACATTGCTGCTGTGAGCCACGATCTCTTCTGCACAAAATGAAGTAAGCAGTTAGGATGGTCCACATTAAAGATTTTCCACCCCATCCCTCCTAAAGAGGTAACAAAAAAAAAAAAAAAAATCTTCTAGCTCCAGAAAGCATTTCCAGTTTCCACCAGGCAAGCTGCAGCAGCATGTAATTCAGATAAGAAGTCACACTATTATCTGGCTTCAAACAGTCCTTCTAGGCTCTGTCTGCTGCACTTAAGATGTTTGCTGGCCAAGCTTCATGACTCCAGTGCTCACATGGCTTCCTAAAAGCATCTTCTCTCCCCAGCAGCAATGCAGTAGCTTTTAAAGACTGCAGCAACCTGCTCACAGAGGCTGCTTTTCCTTCTGCACCGAGGTGGGTCGCAGTCAGCAGAGCTGCTTCAGAACTGCAATGATAAGCAGCAGACACAGACTCCTAGAGAAAGGACTCTAACCTGGAGAGCTGCATCCAGCCCCAGAGGGACTCGGTCTGGTACCTGACAGAGCAAAAAGCCAGACTCAGCAGAAGGAGAGGTGGAGCTGCCTCCCCTGTGCCACAGTGAAACTTAGCAATGCCACAGACAGAGGAACGATGGACATTTATCTGAAGAGGCACAAAGAAGCAAACGTGGATGATATGGAAAGACTGTTAAGAACTGGAGGGCTGATGGGAATGCTAGAGTTCTAGGAAAGAAAGCCTTACAAGCGTGGGACAAAAGATAAGCCAAAAGAGCACTTTTGCACAGACATCAATTTTTATAATGGATTTTAAAATCCACCCAAATTTTTGGCAGGAGCTTTTGGCAGATGTATTGACCAATTTCTTCCCCTGACTGTTCTCTTCTTTGAAAGCATTTGCAAAGCTAATAGGTATGAAATTTGTTGTAAAAGGGGCGGGCAGCAATCAATTCAGCTCTGCTTGGGGTTGCTTTGGTAGGAAAGGCGATGTGACCATGTAAAGCACACCTCTAATCCAAAGGGCCATCAGACAGCTGCAGCAATAATTACAGCTGCTTTGATCTCAGGCTCTGAGTGTTTTTCTGAAAGCAAAACTGCACAACTTTCACTTCAGCTGGAGGAACACCTTTCAAATTACACAGGTAAATGGACTGTAAACGAGATGAGCCAAGCTGAAAGTGCGTGTGCTCTGTGATGAAAGACCAATAGTCCTTAGGACAACGCTGAAGGAGGTACGTGTGCAAAGAACCAAAGGCAACAAGCAGTACAATGAGTACCGAGAGACCAACTCACTTGTAAAAAAGGAAAGTACAGATGCTGAGCGCTGGGAGTGCATCAGCACCCCGTGCTTTTCCTCCTCCTGGTTTCACTCTTCATAATAGGGCGGATGTTTCAGTGTCGCTGCTGAAGCACCAACCCCGGTCCACATGTGGGCCCTCCCCTCACCCCCAGGGCCTTTTCTCGGGGTCACAACGGCTCCGAGCCCCCCGGCAGCACCACGAACTCAGAGGATGCTGAGGGAGGGCAGAGCCCGACACCACGAGGCGTTGATCTGCTGCTGGCGGTTCCCACAGCTGCACTTTCAGCAGGACGGCACAGAAATCCGCTTTTCTGCCCCTCGGACGGGGGTCGGGCGGCTCACCTCGGTGCAGTGCCACCCCCCGGCCCAGGCCCGCTCCCGACAGCCGGTTCCCCCGCGTCCCCCCGCCTCCCGCCGCCACTCACGCAGCTTCCAGGCCGTCTTGGTGACGACGGCCGCTGCCATCTCCTGCCGCCGCCAGGCTCGGGGCTGGACCCCCGCTGCGTCCTAGCACGGCGGCTCCCCCGCCACCATCCGTAGCTCCGCCGGCACCCTCCGGGCTTCTCTTCGCCGCCGATCCCCGCGGTGCGGCCCGTGGAGGCCGACGGACCCGCGGCCGTCCGCTCGGATGCCCCGACCAGCCCCCGCTCGCCCCTTCTCGCCCGGCGCCTGGCAACCGGGCCCTGGCAACCGGCCCCCCACCGCCAACCTCGGCCACGCCCCGCCCCCGCCCGACTTCCACCAATCAGAGCCGCCCTTGCTCTCCGGCGTTCTAGCCAATCCGCGGTGCCGCTCCGTCCCGCGGAGCCTCGGCGCCGTGCGGTTGCCGGGGTTCTGTCAGGCGGTTGACCAATGGGAGACGAGGGATGGAAGGTTGCCATGGGAACCACAGAGCGGCTGACCATTCGCAGCGCGGCTTGTTGGAGGAGCCTTTCCAGCCCAGCCAATAAAGAGGGGCGGAGATGGGGTCGTTCCCGTGGTGGTTTTTTTGTTTTTTTTTTTAGGTTTGTGGCTGCTGAGGGCGGTGTCACGGCTGCGCTCGGGGTCCCGTCAGCGGGAACGGACCCACAGCCGGCAGCTCCGCCAGAAGGGAGCGGGGTGGGCGCGGTGCCGGCTGTGTGCGGTGTGCGTTAGCTGGTTCTTGGCAGCTGTGTCCCCGCTGGCTGCCTGTGCCAGGATTTCTAAGTTAATTTGTGCTGGCATCTGTTATTGAGTTAATGCTGATTCAATAATCGCAGGCTGGCTTGCTCCTCTGCTGCTTCCTGAGCCCTCAGCATTTCTTTCCTCCCTGGTTCTCTGGGGTCCATCGTTCTCCAGGAGTTCACTCTTAGTGGTTCAGGAATTGCTTTGGCTCATCCGTATATTGCTTTAATTCTTTAATGCTGTGTACTTACCCAGGTACCCGTATTTATCCCTCACAGAGGAGGAGGAAGTTTTTCACCCAGAGGGTGGTGAGGCACTGGAACAGGTTGCCCAAGGAGGCTGTGGATGCCCCATCCCTGCAGGCATTCAAGGCCAGGCTGGATGTGGCTCTGGGCAGCCTGGGCTGCTGGTTGGCGACCTGCACACAGCAGGGGGTTGGAACTGGATTGTGGGCCTTTGCAACCCAGGCCATTCTGTGATTCTGTGGTAAGAGCCTTCTCTCTATGTGACCTAGCTGCGTTAGGTCACCA